CTTCCGAAATCATTCAAAAACTTGCTAGTTTCACTTTGATTTTTTAAAACTCAAGTAGGATAACTCTGTTTGCTAAAGGTGCGCTTTTGCGAAGAGGGCGCCACCGAATTTTGCGGACACTTTTTTAATTGGCTCAAAGAGAGAAGTGACCCATCTTGTCTTGTACTATCTTTGGTTACATGTACAAATTTGATCAGCCGAAAGATTGTTAAAGGTTCAAAACAGAGTCGGGTCCGAAATATTTTTCATGTTACTTACTCGGTAGGAGAATGGGCGTCATTGCAGGCAGCACAATGCCATAGTGCTCCTCCCTCCTCTCCAGGATCATGAAAGGGTCTGCCTGCTGATCGTGACAGTTAACAGCTGGTTGGATATTCTTTTGGCTTTTCCACGCAGGTTACTGTCTCTCCCCTACCCTCTAGAGACACTAGCTTCTTTTAGTCCATCCATTATGTGTGAAGTGGTGCCTTCATCCTCTCTGTGGTCGTTGAACCATGCTGTCAATATTGCCATGACTGTTGGTGGATCTATTACATTATAGTGCTGCCAATCTCAGCCTGGCCGGCAAGCTTATCTGCACGTTCATTGCCTTCTGCATGACCAGGGTTAAAGATCCTTGCAATCCTTGTGAGTCTGCTTTTTCATGTCCTTCCCTCAACATTATTACGTTTTCTTAGCGCAGTGCACTGTCCAGGGACCAAGAATGACGAGAGTTAAGTCTCCAGTACCCAACTAATTTCCACTGGCGTCTATGGTCTAGGGGTAAAGCGTTTCGCAGTAGCACCTAGGAGGCTCCAGTTCGATTTAATAGTAGGAAGAATATTTTTGTCGAGTGTCTGGGATCGGTCTTTTTGTTGGGATGTTGTATTCATCTAAGCCCGGGTTGGCCCCGAAAGGCAGGGTATAAAGCCCACCTCCTAAATTCCTAAATGATTAAAATTGTGTCGATGGGAGCGTAAGAACACCTTTTTACCTACGTCTTTAAAAAAGAGTAGTTAAGAAAAACTAAGACAAACCAACAACAAAAAACGTTTCGGGTTTCAATCACTGTCATGTTCCTTGAGATGAGCTTGACTGGAGGTCGAAGTGTTTGTACTCACATCAGATCATTTGAGAGCTTTATTTAAAAATGTATCTTTTTTTCTTCGAAACTCCCCTCACTCCACTGACGTATGTGTATTCTGAGATTTGTGAAACGGTATAGGTTTAATGCCCCTATCAACGCGGTCAGATCATTTAAGTGGCGGGACCTCCGAGTTAGTTTAATGTCTATCTCCGAAAGGGCTGAGACAAACAGGAAATTCGCGTAAAGTGCCTTCTCAAGTATACAACGTCTGACCGAATGGAGGCTCGAACCACGGAACCCACAGTCTCACCATTACGGGTCCAGAAGCCCAACCATAGGCAACCAACGCCATTCCTCCGGTTCTGCGTGTACACGTGGTAAGATTTCCTCCCATTAACGTGAACATGTAAGTAATGTATAAGGTCACTGTTCAAGTCTGACGGGGCTCATGTCTGAACATGCCCGTTCTGCCATGTGACTACACAATAACAAACTTGTTGTATGGAGAACTCTGTGAGATTGGAAAGGCGCTCTCGTGGCACCATGAGAATAAACTTTTGTATAATATATATTGGGGCGGCAGCTGAGAATTCAGTTTCTGTCTCTTTTATTTTGTTCTGGGTTAGGCTTCCTTGGTCTCGTATTGTCTCTAACAGTGTGTGTTACTTTCACTATAATAATATAAATCTAGACAGATTCTACTTGTCCGTGTTTCCTCTCTCTTAATTTAGGGGAGCTTGGCAACAAATCATCGCCATTACACAGAACACTCAGAAATTTAATGTAGTTTTTTTTATGCCCCCACCAACATAATTTAGATGAATTAGGGGGGGGGGGGGGGGGGTAGGCTTCCAACCCTACCTTTCAGAACCAATCCGGGCTGGTAGGCGAAAAAACCCAGGGTAACTTTCCATTGGCCATCCTAAATTAAAGTGGGGCAGTTTCACCTTGAAAGGGTCATTATCTTTAATAATTCAAATGGAAATAATCATTAGGCCTAAAGATAGAGACAGGCTGTTTGGTAAGTGAGAGAGGCATTAAATCATCATCTTTCATTGAAATAGAGTTTTATTATAATGTATGTTCAATATGATTTTACCTTGAAAGAGTTAGGTCGATTTTAAAAAATGTGATAAGAGTCAGAGGCAGTAGGTTTTTCATTATTAAAAAACAACAACAGAGAGTACATATTATATTGAACCCATATTAGACAGTCATACATATTATAAAGACTATTTGCGCGCTCATATGACCTTATGCAGTTGCGAGCGCTGTAAAACTCTTACTAAAACAATAAAGGCTATATCATACTGAACTTTTACCAGAGTATAATAGGGATGTCTTTCACATAATTAGCAGAGTTTCAGATTTAAGTGGGCTGTAATGTTGTCAGTTTTCAAGATACATCAAAACCTCTAGTACATTTTGAAGCATAAGTATTGTTAGTAGACCGGCCAAATTTCACACACTTTGAAGTACAATTAAAAACAACCCGTTATGATGACAAGAATGATCATACGCAACCACTCATTCCAAGCGCAAAATCAAAAACGAATTTTACGTTTACGAGGGAAATGTTTTGTCTACCTTTATATTCTAAGAGTGAATATCAAGCTGATCATCATGCTAGACAAAAAAAAACAAAACAACAACATGCAAAGCAAAGAAAAATAGGCTAGACCTAATAAAACGATCGTGGTATACTTCAATGATGACTTCCTAGAATAAGCTTAAAGTAAACTTGCAATTCATTATTCGGTACGTTTTGTCTTTTTTACGGTGATACTGTCCCTTTACCCATAACTTGACTTTTCAGACTTTTTGTATCATTAGGACTTTTGTACGGACTTATGTGCTCTCTTTTGAAGCTCCCATTATATTATCACTACAAAGGTGTGTGTGTGTGTGCGAGGGGGAGGGGGGCGAGAGCGAGAGCGAGAGCGAGCCAGCGAGCCAGAAAGAGAGAGAGAGAGAGAGAGAGAGAGAGAGAGAGAGAGAGAGAGAGAGAGAGAGAGAGAGAGATAGAC